CTGATTTAAAGAAAAAATATATTAAGCATTTTTTTTATATATTTATGCATGCTGGTTGCATAGATTTATTGGTCGGTGCAGAACTTCTTATTTTATATTTTTTTGTGGAAGGTCAGAATTAATTTTTTTTTGTTCTTTTTTGCAGATGTTCGTCTTTGGGATTTAGCCAACAGGTATTGTTGTACACACCTGCACTTTATTTATTTATTTTGAATAAGGATACATGCTCAGGTAATTAAGCTTTTTTTAATCTATTACAAATATATTTAAACTTTTTTGTACAGGTGATAGTTTATAGCTGACTGTCGGCTGTTTTTTTTTTACCTTCGCGATTTAGAAAAGTGATGATTTTGTGATTTTGAAAATAATTTAAATATGAATATAATATATTTTTTTTAAAAGTAACATTTTAATTTTAAAATTGGTGAGATCAAACGGGTCTCACATTAAATAGTTTAAATGATTAAATACAATACTACATGTAATACACTTATCCCGAAGAAATAAATATATCACTTGTAATAGATATTCAATCACCTAGACTAACAAATCCCCTATCAAACATAAAAAATTAGATAGGGTTTATTTTATCTGGGTTCCTGGTTCCTTATAGAGGTTCCCTATAGAGGCAAGCCCCTATAGTTAATTACATCTTAAATGATCGAAATCATTTAAGAAAACTCTCGATTAAGATCAGATGGTTTTGCTTTCAAGATTTCAAAGTTTAGGTTTTCATGATTGGTCATGGAAAAATCAAATGGGAATGACTCAAAATATGAACAATTATTTAAGGAATCCAAAGAAAAGAAAAGTAGGGGTATCACAGATTCAGGAGAAACTCCGGAGATATCCCAACTATCCTATTGTTCGACTTTATGTCTTTTGAAATGATTTAATTTGAAATTTCAATCCTGCAAATTATTTATTATTTAGGACTTATGTTTACACAATATCGGACTGTGCAAGTAGCCTAAAAAGATAGGAGGATTTACACCGTACAACACGGTAACCTCGGAATCCTAAAATGTTAGGATTTATAATTGTACAACAGAGTTGTGTAAAAAGCCCAAAGAGTGATCCTATAGGTTGTTATTTAAACAAAAGAAATGTGAAGGTGATATGAATGTGTTTTGCTGCTGCATATCCACCTGGATATTGTTCCTCGTCGCGCTGCCCACGATGTTCGCTCCAAATTCTACGTAGTAGCATCTCCTGGTTCAGTTTTAGTTTTGAACATGCTCCTAACCACTAGGTTATTCTATACTAAGACATAACATATCAAAGTAACTAAGCATGCAGTGTGAAAGAAAAATAACAATGTACTGTACAGTAAAAAGGAAAGACAATATAACATGCTGAAAGAAGAGCATAACATGTTATAAAAAGTAGTATAACAAGATATAAAAGCAATATAACATGCTGGAAAAATAAAATGCTGTAATATAAATTAAACCTATACACCTGGTAGGTTCATTTCTCCTTTAAGTTTAGCTATTAGTAAAAGATGAAAGTATGACATGAAAAAGACTTAACAGAAACAGGTAAATAGTAGGAAAAAGACAAACAAATAAAATGAAATACAATATCACATATAAATGACCAAAAATAGGAAATTTATATGTGATATTGGAATGTCCCCAATTGCTAGGAGGATTTGAGTGTAAGACAAACTCAAATCCCGGAGCATTGAGTTTCAGTTTGGTCAAGTTAAGGTAAGAATTTCATTATTTGATCTAATTAAATCAGTTATGAATCACAATCTAGTACACCCTCGTGCTTAGTGTTCTTATTATTTCATGAAATGGGGTCAGGTGTCTAGCTTCTTGGGATCATTTGAAAATTAGGATGATGAACACTCTCAAGGTGTGCTCCTAATATCTAGGAAGCTTACACTTTAATTTGGGCCTGAAGTGGTTCTAAATTGTCTAACCTCAGTTAAGTGTCCTTTCAACTAACCCTCAAACATCTTTAGATTAAGCTTAGCTCATCATTAGGCTCCTGAAACCTAAAGGGTAAACCTATAGCTTTGGCAAAAGGGTTGTGAAGTGTGCTTCAAACCTAGTTAGAACAATTGGATTTAATTTTATTCAAAGCTTGAGGGACCTTAATGCATGTCTATTAATCTTTCCAATCCATGTCTTTAATTGTCATCTAAGCTCTCATTTTCTTCCAACCCCTAACTATTCTTCCAATTTACAATTTTATCTTTCATGTGCAAAAAGGAACGGTAGATGGTTCGCCATTCTATCCCCTTTAGGTTTTATCACCTCGGAGATCCGAATCTTATTTTTAATTTTCTCTCCCTTAAGATTATTAATCATTTCTGAATATAATTAAATCGAAAATTCCCATTTTTAACTTGATTGTTAAAAAAAACAAAACAAACAAAAAAGGAGACCGATCCATTTTTTTAAAACCAAGCCAAATCAGTGAAGGTTAAAATAAAATCAAGAATATATCGGTCTAAAACATTTAAATTCGTTAAAAAAAAATGATCTGATCAATCCCGAGAAGGATATCCTTTCCAAATTGCATATTAAGCAAGTTAAACATCTTACAAAGTGCATTTCAAAAATTCGAAAACTGCAGCATGAAAGCTCCAAAATTTGCGGTCAAATAATACCAAATGAAGCCTCAGACATTAGCTCAAATGCCACCAAAAGCAATCTCAAACATCTCCGAAAACCGATTTGTACCGAACAATATAAGGCACGACAAATGGGAGAAGCCATCGAAATGAATTTGAATCATTTTAACTTCTATATGAGCCACGAGCGTTGCAAAAAGAAACTTCAGCACTCAACCCAGCATACAGCTGAAAGTAAAGGTGAATGAAGAAAGCTCAAAGAACTTAAAAGAGAACAAAGCTTAAATTCCTTTCGAAAGAAACATATAGCGTTTAATCAACTCAAAAAGCTCGACAAATAACCAGCTTTCAAAAGGGCATTTGCACCCTTCCAAATCAACGATTAATCGAGCCCACAACAAAGCTTCGAGAGTTTTCAAACATTTCATAAATCAAAGCTACATTAGTTCTCATTCTTTCAAAATAAAAGCTTCAATATTAAATATTCCGCAATACGAATCATTTGAGAATACAGGTTGTTGCCAACTAAGTAAATAGCCAGAAGAACTTTCAAACTTTTGTAAATTGAGCACCAAAAAGAAGTAGGCCTCAACCATGAATACGCATTTAAAATCCTTCCAATTTCCAGCAAATAAAAAACACTAAAAGGAGCCCAAACCGAGCCCAAGAACATGGGCAACCGAGCCCCAAATATAATTTTTTCTAAGTGCAGGTCTACTAATATTTTCAATCCATGTCTGTAATTGTTATATAAACTCTCACTTTCCTCCAACCCTCAACTATTCTTCCCATTGACAATTTTATCTTTCATATGCAAAAAGTAACGGTAGATGGTTCGCTATTCTATTCTCCTTTAGGTTTTATCACATCGAAGATCCAAATCTTATTTTTAATTTTCTCTCACTTTCTCATTCCCTCATATTTCCCTTAAGACTGTGAATCATTTCTGAATATAATTAAATCAGAAATTCTCATTTTTAACTTGACCGTAACATACCGATGTCAAAACGATTTAATTCCATCCTCCATCAAAAGTTTACATTGAAATATATATCCAATATCTCACAAAAGAAACCAAATGTATCTTTTGGGTAGGGCCAAAATGAGAGTTCCACGGGTAAGGCAACAGAGGGTATAACCAAGCTCACGGGTAAGGACAACCCAAAGGCAATCTCCAAACAATAGACATCAAATGAGGCTCACGGCCAAACAACAAACTAATGCCCATCAAGCCAATGAAATAATTAAATCATTCTCCCCACAAGGACAAACCAAACTCAACAGCAAAGACTTCAAATTCAGCTCAAGGCTAAGGACAAACCCAAAGACAATTCTAAAGCAATAAACATCAAATAGGCCCAAGGCCAAGCATGGAAAAGGGAGCAAAACAGCCCCAAACCGAGCCCCCAAACAAGATTTAATTAAGCTCTAAACTAGCTCACGACTAAGGCCTGGAAAAGGAGCAAAACAGCCACCCAATCCACCCTAAATTAACTCACAAACAAGCTCACAAATAGAACTAGGGAGAAGAGCAAAACAGCCACCCAATCCACCCCAAATTAATTCACAAACAAGCTCACATGTAAAACTAGGGAGGGAGCAAAAACAACCACCAAACTATTTTCTCAACAAAGCCAATCGAGCCCAGCACAAGGGGCAAACCGAAGCCAGCAAGAAGGAGCAAATCATTAAAATATTTCAGCCAACATAAAGTACTAAAAGGAGCCCAAATCAAGCTCAAGAAAAGAGCCAACTGAGCCAAGCACAAGGGGCAAACCGAAACCAGCAAGAAGGAGCAAATCAGTAAAATATTTCAGCCAACATAAAGCACTAAAAGGAGCCCAAACCGAGCCCAAGAACATGGCCAACCGAGCCCCAAACATAATTTTCAACTCTTAAAAATAATTTCCAACATATATTCCATCAAAGGGGCAACAAGAAAAGCAAGATATGATCCCCAAACATAATTTTCCAACTTTTAAAAGTAATTTCCAACATGTATTTTATCGAGAGACAACAAGAAAAGCAATATATGTGCTCCAAACACATTTTTCAGCTCATAAACATAATTTCCTGCATGTATTTTATCAAGGGACAACAAGAGAAGCAATATATGAGCTCCACATACATTTTTCAGCTCATAAACATAATTTCCAGCAAGTACTCTGATGAGGGGCAGCAAAAGGAACGAAACATAAGCCCCAAATGCATATTTTCCAATTCATAAAATAATTTTCAACATGCATTTCTTACTTCCAAATATTTCAAGCAACGAAAGTAGTAGAGGCAGCCCTTAAACATGCTTTTCCATAGACATAAAACAAGTTCCAGCATGCATTTCATACTTTCAAATATTTCAAACAACGAAAGTAGTAGAGACAACCCTCAAACATGCTTTTCCATAGACACAAAACAATTTCCAACATGCATTTCATACTTCCAAATATTTCAAACAACGAAAGTAATAGAGGCAGCCCTCAAACATGTTATAAAGGAATAAAAATGCATTCCTAGACTACTCTTCCAATGCTTTCATTTATCATGTATACCAAATGTCTTAAGCATAGAAGAAGAGAAAGCAACCACGGTATGCTATATTTTGATGTCCAAGAGGACTATTTCATGCATAAATCACTGAACATACACAAACCATGCTTCTTCACGCTTTTAAAAAAAACTGGAAATATTTTTATGCCATCCGAAATAGTGTAGAATAGAGGAGAAGAGAAGAATACCTCTTTAATGCAAACTTAAAACAAAACACTAAAAATAGGATTGAAGAAAACACCACACAGAAATTTCTTCCTGAGAGCTTCACGCCAGTAGCCCTCACGATTTCTAGCTCTGGCCGCAAGGGTATCGAACAACAGGGGGGGAGAAGAATTTTCTCAAACAACAAAGAAGGAGATTGCCTTTCCAACAGTAAAGTAGAGAGAAAGAAAATCCCAAATTCCTCCTAAAAGCCTTCCTTTCTCAAAGCCCTCTCTTTCTTTTCTCTTTCAGATTTTTTTTTTAATTTTTTTTTAAAGAAAACAAAATTCCGGAAATATTTCAAGCATACACACAAAATAAAAAAAATGGTAGCACCTCCTCCTCTCAAGAAAATTCGACCAACCTTAGATGCCAACCCTAGAACTCCTCCCCAAGTAGGGTTTTTATAGCAGAGAAAGGAGCAAAGCAGAAGAGCAGCCACCTACCAGCCTCCCTAGTAGCCGAATTAGGTAAAGGAAGAGGAGAAATGCATTTAGAGTGGAGGAAATGCGGCCTAGGGCAGAGGAAGAGCCGGTCAAGTGGAACTTCGCAGTTGGCGGACCGCTCTGTTCCCCGCTGGTGGGCAGAGCTCGAGGAGACGAGCCGCGTGCGTGAATGGCGGAAGAATGTCGTGCGTGGGTTAGGTGAATAGAGATTTGGTTTTATAAATATTATATAATTAAAAATATGAGTATGAAAATAATTAATTTTTAAAGTAAAAATTTAATTTGCACATTTTAATTTGTGTGTGAAATCATTACAAATTGGATGTACTTTTTAGGTAATTCTGACGTTCTGGACGCGCTGACCCGTTCTATTTCTCCACTGGAAGTCGTTTTGACAAATTCATCGATTTGCGTGACATTTTTGCTTGTGTCGGAAATATGACAATATATGTGTCCTTTCCTACCAAAATTAGTGTCTCGGACGCGTTGGTGCGGTCCATTTTGTCGTCGGAGGTCATTTGGAGAAGTTTGCATTTTCACCCGTCCTTTGGGCTTAATTGAAGTCCGATTTCGTGAAATTTTGTGAACTTTGTGTATTTGGTGTGTGTGTGACGAAAAAGTCGTGACGATGTTTTCCTAAGGCTTGAAGTCCTATTAGGAACTTTTCCCTTGAGTCTTCGCAAAATAGCCCATAACCGCTCATTCATAAGACGATGGTCTTGTGCCAAAAATGCTAGACATCAAAGAAAATAGTAAGTGTTTGGAATTTCTAAAAGGGTGAGTCTCAATTCTAGTTTTCTAAGATGGTCAATAGGAACTCCTAGAGCTAGATCCTAAGACCCTAGAAAAGGAAATGACCTAAAAAATGAGGTCAATACTGACTTGTCCCGCCTTTAGATTATTTATCTATGTTTCTGCTTACTTCATATTTTTAGGGACATTTACATGCATACCACACAATTCTTATATATTTACATATTTAACAGCTAAAATTTTCTATTTACATGCATAACTCTCAAATCTTTAACATGACGTAAAAATATCACCGTACTTAGTCTATTAAACTGAAATACTCCTTTTCATGCATTGGTTTGTAATTAAAAGATGTTAATATCAAACTTTAGGTGTTAGATATGTAAATACATAAGAATTACGTGGTATACATGTAAATTTCCCTTATTTTTAATATCTATTTGTTTCATGTTATTTTTCATTTTATGTTTTCAAAATATCTAACAAATGTTTTCAAATTGTGTCAAACAGGAAAACAGTTTGTCAATCGCTTTGGGTTCCGAGGTTGTCGTGTGACACGACGTAAACCCTCTTATCTCCGTGGGTTATTTGCATAATCGAGTATTATGCAAATGTAAGTCTCAAATAATAAAATTGGCAGGATTGAACAATTGAATAACATCGTCTCCAAAAATGTAGCCACACTGTAAGATAGTCTGAGAAGTCACCAAGATTTATCTCGGATCAGTGACATCCCCTACTTTAACTTATCGAAAATATGTTTTATGGTGGATGTAAATTTTTTCGACAAAGTTTAATTTCCATTTTACAGGTGCTATGCACTTTTGTTTATTTTTCTTCATGTCACTACTTCTTTGTTTCAATAATGTTTTGTTTGCTTTAGTATCATTTTATTTGAAATTACACAGTCGTGATGTTATCGAGTTTGTAATTCATCTTTCCTTGTTAAGGCTCCTCTTATTTCCTTGATTATTTTACACATACATGTCTCATAAAACTTGAATTATTTATGTGTTGCCGTAAGGTATCTAAGCATTAGAAGTACTTGTGATTGATTCCACATGTATATTATGATGATGCGTGGACAATCATTCTTGAATGCTAATATTAATCATTTGGTGCTTAATATTAATTGTATTTAATGTTGGTGGTATAACTGCAAAAATGCTGTAAGAGGCCTTCATATTTTATAAGATTTTATTTTACCATCAATTTTGCCATTTATAGCCACGTATGGCTTTATTATCTTATTTAACATAAATGGCATTACATTTTCAAATCCACCATCGAAAAAGTTGACCGACACTGCTCTTATAGAAATTTGCATTTACATACATACCACCAAATTCCAATGTATTTACATATCTTACTCCTAACCTTTACTTATTTATGTAAATCTTCCTGGAAAATTTTTCTAATATCACACCCCACTGAGCTGGCATTGTTATATTTCATTGAACCATCTCATGTTTGGCAGTTTAAGGCTTTGGAATGTCCCTGACTACAGAAACAAGAGTCCAAATGATTCAGCAGCTATGGTGGTCCGTATCTCTATTTTTTCAAGCAATAAATTTATGTTTTGAGTTTTCGTATTATTCTTGCCGTCTGATTTTGTATTTTTTACCATGTTTCGTCACATTTCAGCCAGCAGCAGTCTATGTATGGAAACACGCCTTCTGGTAAAGGTTCCCATCATGATTTTTTAATATTTAATTTAAGGGGCATTTACATACATGGTCTTCATTTCTTTTGTATTTACATATCTAACACCTAAACATTCATATTTACATGCATATCAGTCAAATCTAAGACATTACATAAAAAATGCCATCATTACTACCTTTTTAAAAGTGAAATACACCTTTTTCATGCATAGATTTATGGCACTAAGGTGTCATGAATGTAAATGTCAAACTTTGGTTTTTAGATATGTAAATACATCAGGATTGTGTGGTATACATATAAATTTTATTTAATTTAATTGCTGGAAATTTCTTGCAATTTATTCATTTTTAAGCTATTTAATTCCCTTGTGAATATAGAACTCTAGAAGTGTTATCCAAGCTTTAATATTTTCTCCCCCCTTTTTTTAATTAGGGGTGTTGATCACCAGTGGGGTGGGAATCTCTTTGCAACAGTTGGTGCACAGGTGGATATATGGGATCATGAAAGGTTTGTTGCTTTTATTAAATCCATAGATATTTTTTTGTCGGAATATTTACATACATACCACTCAACTCTTATGTATTTACATATCTAACACCTACGCTTTAATTTTTACTCGCATGCCACTGTGCCTATATTGAAAAGATGTATTTCACTTTTTAAAATTTAAAATGGTGGTATTTTTGATGTCATAAGAAAGAATTAGGTGATAAAATTTAGGTGTTGGATATGTAAATACATAGAAATCGAGTGCTATGTATGTAAATGCACCTTTTTTGTTTAACAAGTTAAATTTCTTTTCAAAAGATCAGAGCCAGTGAATACCTATAAGTGGGGAAATGATACAGTTATATCCGTGAGATTTAATCCTGGTGAACCAGATATGCTTGCGACCTCTTCTAGGTATGCAGAATGCTCACATCAGCTGGCTCTATTTAAATGATTAGAATTTTGCATATTTGTGCTTTACAAAACTTAAATTTTTTGAGTGCTTTAGAGAATTTTTTAATTACCATTAGTTTTAGATCTTTCAGTTAAATTCAGATTTACATTTAAAACTTGTGTGTGCTGCCGGATCTGAATTTTTCTTAGCATTTTTAAGGTTTTGATTGCTACTTTCTAGGTTGCTTTGTAGTGGAATGAGATTTTGATCGCCTATTGGCTGATTTTTATTTTTGTTTTTACTATTAAATTTTTTAATAATTAGGGTGTATAGGAGGTTGAAATTTCGTTAATCTTGCTATGCATAATCTTAAATGCTTTCTCTTGAACACTATTGTTGTTTTAACTAGTTGATTATTCATGTATTTTGTTTTGCAGCGATCGTAGCATAATTTTGTACGATTTACGTATGTCTTCACCGGCCAGGAAATTAATTATGAAGGTATAAAAGTTATAAACTTATGAATTTAGTAATTGCATGATTTCATCAAGCTAAAACCTTTCTACAAATATTATCTGTCTCTAGTAAAAGCTAGCTATTTGTCTTCCATTCTATTGCTACTTTTGGGTGCTGTTCTTTTCTAGTAAGATGTAAACTTTGAGAACTTGATTGAAATCTTTATTTCTATGTAGATTTATAAAAAAAAAATACTAGATGGGAAAAAGAAAGTGGATTTATAGACTTTTCTACTCTTTGGATATATATATATGTATATAGAGAGAGAGAGACTATTTATAGACTTTTCTACTCTTTGGATATATATATGGAGAGAGAGAGAGACAGGAGAGACAGAGAGAGAGAAGTTTCTCAGAAATACTTATGACCCTATGTGATTAAAGTATTTTGCAGATTATTTCCTTATTTACATTTTTGGGAATTAATTTTTAGTATTTGTTTTCCTTGAAGTTAACCAATTGCTCATTGCTGCTCAAAATCATTTAGATATTGAATGTTGTTACTGCAGCATTTTAGTTTGAATTTTCATCATTTTTATGATGATGGAATAGTTGTCAAAGTATTATTTGTAATTTGTTTTATCCAGACAAGATGTAATTCTTTATCCTGGAATCCCATGGAGCCCATGAATTTCACAGCTGTAAGTATGCTTTGTTTTCCACATGAATTTTTTTAAGATTTTATTTTTCGGGCATTTACATTCATGCACACAATTCTTATGTATTTACATTTCTCACACATAAAATTACATATTTACGCACATAATACTCAAATCTTTAATATCTGATAAAAAATAGCACTATAATTACTTTTTAAAATTCAAATACACCTTTTCAGGCATAAGTTTAAAGCCTCAAAGTGCTATGTATGTAAAAATGGAAATTTAGGTGTGAGATATGTAAATACAAAATAATTTCTTGAATTTGCAAACTTATATGGATGATTCTCAAAATAACTCTTTTATGTTGAAGGCAAATGAAGATACCAACTGCTATAGCTATGATGCCAGGAAACTGGATGAAGCTAAATGTGTTCATGGTGATCATGTTTCTGCAGTGTGAGTGCCTGAAACAGTTTTTTTTTTTTAATTTTTTTAAACTCTACTTTTGGTGCTTATTATGTTTCTGCTTCTAAATCATCTTTATGTTAAAATTGTTTCTTTTAGGATGGATATTGATTACTCACCCACTGGTAGGGAGTTTGTAACTGGATCTTATGATAGAACAGTGAGTCATTATACAATTTAAGAAATCATTAAAAAAATGTGGTGCTGCAATTCAGCATATTGCACAATGTTTTCATTTTGCTAAATTTTGATTTCGAATGTTGCAGGTAAGAATATTCAATTACAATGGGGATCATAGCAAGGAAATCTACCATACAAAGAGGATGCAAAGGTTTCTCTCAGACCTTGATGCAAAATCCTATTTTTCATCTTTTCAAGTTCTAGTGCTTTGTTGCTTTTTTAATATTAAAAACAGAAGGAAATGTTGGGTGATATTTTCATTAATTTCCAAGCAGAGTTTAATTTGGAGTTTTCTATTTGATTTTCACTTCTCGATATCTATATTTTTTTGTAATTTTTAATTGTTGTTTGGCTAATTTTTGTTGTCCGTAACAGGGTTTTCTGCGTAAAGTACAGCTGTGATGGAACTTATGTTATTTCTGGCAGCGATGATACTAACCTTCGGCTATGGAAAGCTAAAGCTTCTGAGCAATTGGGAGTTGTAAGTAATTATAACAGTTGTTTACTCCAATGCTTTCTGGTACTTGTCATTTGTTATTCCTTATTTGTTTGT